AAAAAAATTAAAAAAAAAAAAAAAAAAAAAAAAAAGGAATGAACACGAATATGTTCAACAAAATACATTGTCTACATCTCGAAATACATTGTCACGTCTCCCATTGAGGCTCACAAACGTAGATTGACCTCTTTTCACTAGAAACCACCAAAAATGAAGTTCACAACAATCCAACTCAAGAACTTGAGTTTCTCTCAAATCTTTCAACAATGGGTGTAATCACTCAGAAGAAAACATGATAACAACAAACACGACAATTGTAGAAACACCAATTTCGTACACTTATAAATATTGTCAATTGTTAATATTTGGGGATCGATTTTAAAAAGTCAACATTATTGAGAAGAGTAGCTCAAACTCTTTATAAATTAGTTTTTATTTCGATATTTAACCAATGTGAGATTATTTCACTTAACATGCCCTTTCAAGATGGTAGCTCGTTTAAGCAGAAAAATCTTGAAATCCTTGTGCTCATTTTTGAGTCTTAACCAGATCAAATAGCTCATTGGAGTTTAATGAGCTCTGATACTCTGTTAATATTGGGGGGTCCATGTTAAAATATCAACATTTTTAAGAGAAGTACCCCAAAGTCTTTATAAATTGGTTTTAATTTTGGTATTTAACCGGTGTGGGAATATTTCCCTTAACAGTCAATATAGAGAGACAATTTAAGTTGGTAATTATTTGGTCTGAGTGATAATCTTGACATAAAGATCATGGGTTCAAGTCTCATTTTTTAATAATATACACGTGATAGGATTTAATAAGAAGTAAGAAATTCTAGTTACAAGTGTGACTTTGTTGAAGACGAGATTTGAAAGATATACATGATAGTTTAAGCTTTTAGATTTAATGATTCAACCGTGTATATGTGCATCATGCACGTACAAAAGTTTTCAATTGGTGCGATGACTAGCCACGACTCTTCAAATGCAAATGATGCATATAAAATAGTCATGTTGTTTTGAATTGCGTGTGACTTTTTATAAATATACATAATGAAAAGTCACGACCTTTTGATAAGGTGTAATCTAAACCACTAGTTATTATAATGTACGATTGAATGGTCCGCATTAATTTATGTAAAAGATGTAACATTTCTCAAAAGATACTTGATACTTTTCTGAATAGGTACCCCTAATTCCATGTTTCCTTCAAAAAATCAATTCAAGAAAATTTGGTTTCTAATTCTCTACTCTCTTCAAAGTATTCTCCCTCCCTCCCTCTCTCTTTTTGTTGAAATAAAAAAAAAATTGATCAAATTATTTTCAAAATAAAATTCCTTTCAAGCAATTTTAATTTGTGTATATTCCAATCATGAAAAATACTGTCAATACTTTGGTTTGTGATAAGTATGTTTTGCCCCACTTATTTAGTTTACAAACATGATTTAATTACGAGTAAAGTGTTTGAATTGTGACTTAATTTCGTTTAATTTGTGTATAGTAGGTTATATTGATGGGCATGGTGAAATTCAGGAGAAAAGATTCAGAAAAGGAGTAAAATGAAGGATAACAAAACTTCAAGGACCAAAGTGCAATTAATCAAAAGATCACCCAAAAGCAGAATCGAGGAGGTGAACGAGCTAAGTACCATTTGATTGAAAACACGAGGTTTTGGAAAAAAAAAAAAGAAATGGAAAAGGAGGTCTAGAAATATGAGAAAGAAATTGACGGACTAAAAATGCATTACTTGAAAGATTTGATGGCTTGGAAGATAAATTGTGTATTGGAATTAAAATGGGCCTTGAGTGACCAAAAGAAAGCTGTCGGCTGACGGAGGAGAAAATAAAACATTGGGTCTTAGTTTGGAGTTTGGACTTTATTTGGCATCAAATTCAATAAAGTCTTGGGACTCCTAATTTGTCTACAATAGAAGGGCTCAATTGTGGGATTTATATATAGGTATTAGGGAAAAATTCATAATCCAAAAGATAAGTATATAACCTTTCAAATCTAAGATGATATTGTTGACACATAAAAATTCAGCCCAAATCGAACAGCCCAGAGAGTAAAGCCCAATTGGAGGATCCCCAAATCAGATAGCCCAAAGAACGAAATCTAATTGAACGAATCAAGGTGAAGGCCCAAGAGTGCGGTAACGCCATCGCCCAAGTTTTCAAGTCGCTCAGAGTCTGAACGAATAGAGTGGCATACGGTCGCCCGGAGTCTCGCCCAAATCTTCAAGTCGCCCAAGGTATCAACAAATATAACGCATTATGATTATCAAGAAATGCAGTTATTGAGGCAGTTGCTAAAGTAACCTTACCACGTTCCACGACTCAAGGGGTTCAATCGAAAGCGGTTGAACGATGCAAGATAATGGCAGCAGTTAAAAGGACAGTTTCATGACAAAATGGCCACTACAAAGAAAGTGGGTAGTTATAGGGCGATCAAACAGTTTTTTAGAGCAGTTAATCACAAAGGGATCGCCTATGAAGTATAAAAGGGAGAAAGAACTTAGAAGAAAGGACCGAATCCAAAACTCTTGAACAGAGAATATATAATTTTCATTCCTTTAACTTTTAGACTTAAACACTTCCTTTTCTGTAACTCGTGTGCTTGCGCCCCTTGGAGGCACGTTGTTTTCCGTTTCCAATTGTAAAGTTCATCGCCAGTAAAAGGAACACCTCTTTTTGGTACTTTGTCTCAAGAGGTTTCATCCCTTACACAATCGTCTGATCCTCTTTAATTGTTAGCGAATTAACACGCGCGAAACAATTTGACACGCCCAGTGGGACGATGGTGTTAGGTGTTGAAGGTGCAAAAGGTGAAATAATATGCCTCAGAGATCCGACAAGGAAGGAGCAAGTCAGGGAGGAATCCAGTCTGTAATCGAGCGATATGAGGAGCAACATGCCTCTCCACGAACAGATGGACAAAATCAGAGCAGTAACAGTCGTTACGAACCAATGACGGAGCTGAGTGCTCGAACCATGCGTGCATTGCTTGGAGAACTCACGCAAGACGTCGTTGAACAGGTAAATCTTCGAAGTATTCATAATATGGAAAGATTTACACAAAGTGGTAATGTACACTATGACAATATGGCCAAACAACTAAAGACGTTGAATGAAACAATGAACAAGTTAGTGGGCCAAATATGTCAACCGGCTATACCTCTTGCAAGTCACTTTCAAACTAGGACGATCGTAGGACATAATCCTTCGGTCCCAAGTCCAAGTCAAGGGGTAGAACCACTTTCTGGCCCCTCTACTTCAAACCAAGGAGGTGCTACAATACCAAATCAAAGTAGTAGTAGTGGTATGCCTAACTTGGGAGGTAATACAAACGTGAGAGATAATGTCCTAAACAATGGACAGAATATTCCACGTGGTAACGAGGGGGTAGATGTCCAGGCTAATGATAATGGCCCTAATTATGGTAATTTTGTTGCCAATCAAGGACCAAACATCAGACCTCATGCAAATCAACCGGTTAATCAGCCTGTAGGAATTCCATATGATCCCAATGTTATGTTGAGAAATCAGATTATGGAAATCGTGCAGGATCAAATGGCCTTTGGGGTGCGTCCTGTCATTAGACCGACTTACACAAAGCCATATCCTGATTGGGTAGACCAAGCATATCCATGGCCTAGAGGGTACAAAGTGCCAGAATTCTCACTGTTTACTGGTTTAGGAGAGGTGTCTACTCTAGAACACATAGGGCGATTCACGTTGCAAAGTGGTGATGTAACCGATTACCATAAAATGAGACTTTTCCCTA